ATGTCCGTTATACCAGGATTCTCGTTATAAGGAATCCAGTAATAAATTCAATGGAAATAATAAAGTAGGCCTAATCTATCAGTTTGGTGTTCTGTTTATTTCTTTTTGTTATCTACCCTGATGATGACATTGTTCAACATGACCTCTAGGTCTTACTTGATCAAAAATTCTAACTGGCGAGATTTATATGTATAACTGGCCTGTGCGCTGTGCACAGCAGCAGCAATATTCCGCTATAACCGACTCCCCTGGTTGTTCAATTGCGCTATAACAGTATTTTTTTTACAAAGATAAAGAAGGGGAAAAAACGGGATTTTAGAATGGTGTCTTAATAACAGACTTCTCGTTGTTTCAGGACTCGTTATAAGTGGACTCCACTGTAATGGGTATGTGTGTATGTGTGTGTAAATGTGTGTGTGTGTGTGTGTGTGTGTGTGTGTGTGTGTGCGTGTGTGTTTGTGTGCGTGTGTTTGTGTTTGTGTGAGTGTGTGTATGTACGTTTGTTTGCATGGTGGGCACATGCACCCGTATAATCATAACGGTATAAGATAATAACCCCATTAAAGTCTGGGCAAACGAAAACAAAACAACTTTATTGTTTACAAAACATCGACTTAGAATTACACATATACGTGTTACAAGATGTGAATGCATGCTTTAATTAGAAATGGTTGAATGTATACGTGCATGTACATTTTCGAGAAGAAGACATACTAGAACGACGTATGGACATAAGCATTTTAACAACTTAAAGCAAAATAATTGTGCATGCCTGTTTTGTGATCTACAACAAAGTACGTGAGTAGATGCTGTACATTCTGCGCGCTGTCTCGCTCATCTCTTCTTCTAGCACACCCTGCTGTAAGCACTCCTTAGGAGGGTCAAACAGACCTGGGTCCTCAATGCCCTCGACGAGGTCGTTGATGTTGGTGGTGAGGGTGTGGTTGTTGTGTGTGTTCCTCGTAAATGTGCGGATAGGGTAGCAATTACGTTTGGTGAACACGCCTAGCCAGTCTTCCCCTGTGGACGAGGATGGTACACATGGTGAGTATTAAAATTATGCTTCTTTTTTATAGCATGAGGACAGAATGGCAGAAAGTGTATGGGTTTAGCTCTTTTTAAGGCAGCCAGATTTCCTCGACGATTGTGCTAGAAAAGTGTATACTGACATTTTGATGGCACTGTTTGGGCCACTCAATAGATTTTTATAAATTAAGTTCATTTAATAGTTAATTTATATCAGAATAGCGAGAAAAGAAAAAAAGGGAAAAAAAAAAGAATTTGCAGAATTGATTATTCTTGGAAAAGGTCTGTTTAGAAAGCGAAAAGAAGAAGGGGGGAGGGG